CCTACAAAAAATACCCTTATCTTAATTCTTAATATTTTTGAAACAACACCATCACTTGCTAATTTTTATGCTTTCTTAACCTTCAGTTCTTCAGGAGCCACTTTTCAGGGATGTTTCCTTTTGCCTTGGGTAGTTCAAGCCAAATTTCTAGCACCCTTTGATTCACGTTCTCGCAAATATACACATACAACCCATATCTGGAGGCAACCGTAGGCGTGACTGCAGGATCGGTGAGGGACCAGACCAGGGATAGGCAGAGACTTCTATGATGCAACTTTCACCGCAGGGCCTCTTTTCGTTCCCGATACGGACGATATAGTTCGCTAGGAGTGCGCGCAAGTTCGACGGGTGAGCCACAGTTGCGAACCTGAGGAATCGGACAATTTAAGAGGATCTCAGTGGGTTGGCGACTTAGCACAGGGAAGCGCGTCACATTTGGCACCAAGCCCAAATGAACTGGAAATTAGTATGTCTCGCGGCTCTTCACTCTTTTTGTGCCATTTGACTTACGACAGATTCTCGGGACACAGAGCACGTCCTACGTTGGGAGAGCCCCAGAGGAGAGGGTCGTATTTGATTGCTAGACGAAGGGTGTCGTAGATCGTCAGAGAAAAATTTTTTTGATAGTTGATTTTCCGTTTTGCGGGCGCTAACATCTGGAATAATAACAAGCAGGGGGAGGAGGAGGTCATGCTTCAGCGGTTTTCCTTTTTCACTAGTTCTAATTCCCCCCCCCCCTTCCGCAATCTCTGCCTGCTAGACGGCAAAATCATTGAAGGAAACAGGAAATTCCTGGGAAATGCCGGAAAAATGTGGCAGAAGGCGGGAAAAGTTGGAGGACGGGTAAAGGGGGAGGGGTGTCGTAGCAGAGGACGAAATTGGAGGTGGGTCGCAGTTTCCGATTTTCCCCAGCGGTAGGACGTACCCCTGGGGGTGGGGAAATCATCCTCTTGATACTGACTCATGCCACGAAGGTTACCAAGGCTGAGCACTTATTCATCAGCCTGTATTGGGAGTTGCCGACGGAACCAGTACCGAAAAAGGCACAACACTATCGAACACCTCAGTAGTGGTAACTAAAATACCTGTTATGGTTAGTGGTTAATCGCCCTTTGGCTTTATCAGGGTATCACTTATCAGTTCACTTTTAAGCCATCTGACCCATCGGCTGTCAAGTGAGCAAACCAGAAAGGATCAGAAGGGCGACGCATTTAGTAAAGTGCAACAGTTAATCCGTCCTGGCACAGCCCAAACAAGATAGCCCGATGTCTTGCTCTTCAGAGCTTCAGCTTCATATAGGATCTTCAGATAGGGGATTTGGGGATTCTCCCACTGGGGCCATTTCACTACTGGTATTCTAGGCTTAATCTATGATTAGAACCGTTCGATGGAGAGTTGGTTGAAGCGCTGAGAAACATAAGATAGGACGAAGCGTAGACGGTTGGGGGGGGCGGTGACGGGTGGAAGTCTCCTCTTACGTCTTGCCCTATTATCGTTGTCTCATGAACATTCCGCTCACCTGAACTGGTACGGGTTCCGGATTGTTGACAGGGTTGGCAGCAACGCACCCGATCAAGAAAAGGAGCAACATTGTCTTGATGCTAAACCAAATTTTTACAAAGCAGCAATAGAAGAAGGTTTGGTATAAGTAAAAGAGATTTGACAGCCAGAGGTCCTTTTTAAGCATACTGATAAAGCGATTTACTGATGGAAATGTTTCTAATCGCCCTTTTATATTAACAGTTCCTTAATCAAGAAATGGTGGCAGAAAGCCATAAAATTTATGATATAAAAACCTTTCAAATGAAATGTTCCGAATTGATTCTTTATCAAACACATGATGAGGCTGACTACCCTCATCAATTTACATGATGAAAGAGTGCTCACTAAGCCTCATCCAGAAAATTTGAGAACAAGGAAGTAATCCACAGTAGGCGATCCAGCTTCTCTTGCCTTGAAAATACTTTTCGGTTCCAGATCATACCACCCACTGGTTATCTGGGGACAGGCAATGCGTTCCGAGAAATGCCTCGCTGTTCGAAGAATGGGCACCACCACCCTCCATTTCCCAGTTTTGAAGTTTAGAAAGGAGCTTCCATTTGTCCAGAACTGTCTATCTATATAGCTTTACCCATAAAGGGAACACCACATTGACTTGAGATGAGAGCCCTGGCGCACCGGCCACAAGCGGCAGGCGCCAATGACCTCAAATCACCGAGTTAAAAACCTGTTTTCAGGCGTAGTCTGCTCCATGAACGACATATTCTTTTAGCGCGAAAACGTCTGTCAACAGCGCTACAGGCGCCGTCGGCGCCCGGCGGCTTTCGTGATATGCGCGTGATATTCTTGTCCAGAGAGTCGAACTATCGCAGGACAAGCTTCAAGCCAAATACCCCCGGAGAAAAATCAGTAAAAATCTCGCACTTGCAAGATTTGCAAATAGTGACGCAGTAGTGAGTGCGCCGTAGTGCGAAGAATAAAGTTCACTCGCACACGAGAATAGTAGTTTCTCGGGATAAAGAGTATTACGGATAAAATCCATCAAACAAACTCTTTAAAATTTCTCGTCCCACTCTGATGTCTTGCACAGGAATCACTGAAATCTCTTTTGCCCGTGTGGAATCCCTTTTCCTTGAACGAACTTAAGCGATAGTTCAGCGGTCGCGGTGGTATGTGGATGAAAAACGAGCTCGCAAACTGACGCCTTAATTCGTTCCGGTACAAAAAGCAAATGCCGCTATCACGCCGGACTTTCATTTCCGCTAACCGACTCGAACATGTTGCTGTCATCGTCAAACATAGCGATTATCATGCTGTTCAAGGTACGAAAAAAAGAAAAGGATCAAGGAGTTATCACAGAATTTGGCTTT